TCCTGAGCCCCCTTGGGGTTCCCGGCCCTGTCCAGGATGGCGGGAGCCCCCATGAAGAGAAGTGGTTCATTGTGGGGTGAGCGAGCACTGGAGCCCACCTGGGAGAAGAGGTCGTGGGAGACAGGGTTCCAGAAGGAGCCTGAGAGAACCTTCTGGGAGCCCTGCTGACCACCCTGTGCTGCCGAGGTCCTCCCCCAGAGAAGGGGGGACAGAGCTGATCTTCCCGAGGGAGAAGAGGAAGCCCCACAGGGGCAAGTCCCAGGGCTTTCCAAGCTTCAACACGGTATCCGGGAGCCCAGAGAGGGGGTAAGCACCCGGAGCCTGCATCGGAGCACCAAGAATGAAATGCGCAGGCTGCTCTCTGTCCTCTGACCTCTGTGGGGGTTACGAATTCGGGAGGTGAAGCATTTGATGAGGGCTCAGGGCTGCCTTGCGAATGAACTTGCTGTTTGGCTCAAAGGTGCCAGGGGCTGGGTTGGCCCCTGCGGAGGGAGGGACAGTCGATCGTTACCTTGGTGACTGGCTTCCCTTCCTGTCTTGTCTCAAACTCTCAGGTAGGTGACCTCAACTCCTTTTATAGCAGTCGAGCAGAGAGAACCCCACTAACCACTGCTGAATTGTCGTATAAGAGACAAATCCACCTTGGTTATGTCAATCCACTGAGATGTTATAGCTGCTGTTTGCGACGTGCTCTGACTGATGCAGACCTCACCAGTTGGAAAGGTGGGCTCACTCCCACATACGTGGCACCCGAAGCCAGAGAACCATGACCTGGCAGCCTTTGCTCAGACTCCCAGCTTGCAATGGCTTCTGATGAGCCTCTCCTGCTGCCTGCTAATACACCTGCTGGAGTAAGGAAAATGCCTATGCGGAGCAAGGCGAGCTTGTGAAATATGCATCAGTCACTTTCCCCTCGGCCTTGGAGGGGATCTTCTGATTAGTCAGAGGCAGCAGCCGCCCTGCCCGAAAGGGAAGTAGGACCGTTACAGCCAGCAGCCTGTGGTCCACGGTTAGGTCTTACCTCTGTGCCTTTTCCGTGCTGTTCCCCGTCTGAAATTCCTTTTCCTCTCCTTTGCACCACCATTTACAGCTCGACTCTGACCACTGACCTCCTGAGCCCTCAGGCTGGGTCAGGCCACAAAGGATGCCGAAAGGCAGACAAAGGCCTTGGAACTGTCCTTCCAGGCATGGACGCGTGCTGTGCGCTCGGCTGCTGTGTCCTCACCGGCAGCCCCAGGGACGTTCAGGGTTGGATCTTCCTCGCAATGGTGGCTGTGCCGAGTACTGTAGAGTGTGCGGTAGCCCTCTAGCCGCCCCCGCTAGATGCTTGTCACATGCCCCTCTCTCCCCACCCCTAGTTCTGATAACCCAAGGTGTCTCCAGACATTGTCCAATGTCCCCGGGGTGGGGGGGCAGAATCAGCCCCGCTTGAGAACCATGGGTCTAAGCTGTAAGATTTGGCCTTCTGGGCGTGGAGGACGCGTGGACATCCCCATGATGTGGCCTGGTCAGCTGGGCTTAGTGGGGTCACAGGCACATCTGAGCTTCTGAGTGGGGGAAGCGAGAAAGTCCAAACAAGCAATTTCCTTTTAAGCCAGTGACACAGCGTGCACATCACTGCCTGCACCTCGCCAACGCCACCTCTGCCCACGTCCCACTGACACTGGCCTGGTCCGTGGCCACTAGGGGTCTGGGGACCCTGGGTGCAGGCTGGGCTGCCTGCCAAGACCAGCTTCCGCTTTATAGGACAGGTGGGCACACAGATCCCTACCGGGGGGAAGGGGTCGATGGCTTTTGGAGGCAAACGGGCAGCTCCTCACACACCATTAGGCTCCGGTCCCCACCACAGTCCTCCTCACACCCACGGCCTGACGCCCTCCCACTGTTCATTATATTCCCGTGGCTCCCTAGGCCTTTGATTCCCTGGCTCCTGTCTAAAGAGTGTGGCCCTAGCTCCTTAGCTCAGTGGTTAAATAAGATAAAGGTGTATTTTTCTTTCCCATGAACGATGTCTAGATGTTGATAAACAAGAGCTGGTATAAAGCTCCACATGTCATCAGAGACCCAGGCTCCTGCCAGCTCATTGCTCTGCCTTCCAGAGCAGGTGTCCCTTCGCCCCACAGTCTAAGCTGGCTGCTAAAGGTCCGCCATCACATCTGCTTTCCAGGCTGCTGGGTGGAAGGAGGACCGAACAAGGGCGTGCCTCTCCCCATTTCTGGACACTCCCACTTAATTCTCATTGGCCAGAACCTGGTCACATGGTCATGCCTAGCTGCAAGGGAGGCTGGGAAATGTAATCTGTTAGCTGAGCAGCACTAAATCAGAGCTGTTACACAGGTGAATGGTGAGATGGTTATCGAGGCACACGATCACCAACTTCTCCCCAACCCACGACCTGCTCAGCTGTCCCCATCCTGAATCCACCCAGCCTATGGGCAACAGATTGTTCAGACGTCCTCCCGGGGTTTCAGCTGGGTCCCAGCCTGTGTCCAGGCCCAAAGATGGGGTGCTTGAAGGAATAAAGGAGCAGGTGGACACCACCTCCCCACCCCCAGTCAGCCCTGCTCTGGGCCTGTCTGGCCAAGGCCACTGACGCAGGGCCAGCGAGGTGCGGGAGAGACCGTCATTGTCTAATGCAGACACTTATTTTCTCCTCATTATCACTCTGCCACTGCATTTAACTTCATGCATTTTTCATGCCTCTTAAAGCCAAGTGTATTCTTCAGAAAAAAATGGGGCTGAGTCACTTGCTTTCCCAGCCTCTCAGGGAATGACGGGCCAGTCAGTTGGGGGAGGGGGAAACTCATTTCTGAGCTGGGGACTTGGCCTTAAGAAGCTGGATTAAAGCTCTGAAATGTAATTGCTTCTGTAGTCCTAATCCTATTTGCCAGATTGATCTCCTAAAAGTAAGGGGGCGTTTGTTCTTTGTCTCAGGCACCAGGAGCCACGGCCTCGGTGCCGACACTGACTGCAGTGACGCCTGGAACACTGCATTCTGACTCCATAGCTCATAACTCATCAACAGCAAAGATTGGCTCACGGTCGCAGCACCCGGTAGGAGCCCCTTGCCACTTGCTTTAAGGGTGGGAAGGTTGTAACTTAGGGAGCAGAATGACTGCCAGGGTCACCCAGTGGCCAAGCAAGGATTCCAAGCTAAGCGTGCATCCACGGGGGTCCCCCTGGGTTCTTGCCCCGCCCCCCTCCCAGAATTGCAGCAGCCAATCCAGCATCAGGTGCATGCCCTGGGGTCCCAGATCTGGCCGCATGGACTCCTTGCCTGCACCCATGCTGCAGTGCAGGGAGGGCCCCAGGGAGGTGGGCCCACTGACCAGAAGTCCGCCCACCCCCATGGGGACTCCTCATCTTGGCCTGAGACGCACAGAGGCCACCAGAGGGCAGCATCCAGGGTGTCAGGGCAGGATCCCGTCCTGGCCCAGAAAATGCCTTTGTAGCTCACAAGCTCTGGGCCTTGGTTTACTCACCTGTGAAATGGGAGGCTGTCACCCATGCTGAGGCCTTGACCAAAGCTGGTACCCTACGACCCCTCGTCTAGGCTGACGGATGAATGAATGAACAAGTAAATAAATGAATGAATGAAGTGATGGACCCTCCTTGACCCCCACCTTCACTCCGGGCTTGTTTGTTTGTTTGTTTATGACAAGGCAGCCCTTGGTTGACCTCACGGATTGCAAGGACCTTGTCAGCTTACAGTCCCTTATTTTTTATTTTATTTTTTACGCCTACAGCACCTGGTCTTCCTAGGTGGTCTCCCATCCGAGTACTCACCAGGCCCCACCCTGCTTAGCTTCCAAGATTAGACGGGATCGGGCTTGTTCAGGGTGGCATGGCCATGGGCTCACTCCAGGTTTAACAATGGGAAACGGGCCAGTCCGAGCTGGGTGCCTGAGGGACAAGAAACAATCTTCCAGGCAGAGGGATGAGCACAGCGAAGGCCCAGGGAGCCTGCTCAGCTGAGCATGGAGCTGGGGGAGTGGCTGCCTTTCCGAAGCTTCAGGGTTTTGATCTGTGAAATGGGGTGACAATGCCTGCCTTCCCCCTGGGGCCCCTGCACGCACCTCTCTGCGACTCCCAGGGACACAGTCCCTACATCCCCACCTTCGTCAAACCCACCTGCACTGAGCCCCTGACCCCAGCTCCGACCACCCCTTCCAGCTGCACAGACCATCCCCCAGTGACCGCTAGTGTTCTATTTTGGGCACGTTGCCTAGAGCACCATCCCCCACCCTTCTTCACCAGGAGACTCCTGAAATGCCTCTTCAGCCCATGGAAGTGGCTGGCACCGCCTCCAGGGAGCCCTCCTGGTTGTCCCAGTTCCCTTAGATGCTTCCTTCTCTTGACTCCCATGGCCCCTTTGCCCTCCCATCTCAGCCCAGATCCCACTGTGCTATGACTGTCTCTGTCCCTCCAAGAGAAGCCTCAGGGCAGATCTGGGACGGAAGCCTGTCTATACTCCACGTTCCCCACCCCCCGCACCCTGAGCCCAGAGTGGTGCCCGGGGTCCGTGTGAGAGGGACACGAGCAGTGAGCCCTCATGGGCAGGGTGCCGCGGGCCGCCTGCCGGGTGGTGACCTAAGTGCTGGCGGTGGTGCTGCTGGCGGAGGCGGTGCCGGTGCCTCAGGGAATGAAAGAAGGCGAATCCCCTCCACCGCTGGGTCCAGTGCTGAACTTGGATTTGCCCTCACATGCTGCAGTCCCTGGACGAGAGCTGCTGCCGGCAGCCTTGGTCCTCCACGGCAGTAACGGCAGGGATGTTAGGGGACCCCAGTCACTCTCTAAAAGTTTCTGTACCCAGTTCAAATGTGGGGGGTTCTTTCCCCCACCCAGCAATTCTCAGACCCCAGCTGGGTGTCCTGCAATTCAACTCAATCCTACGAGACTGCCCCAGACACCAGGTGACCAGCTACAGACTGGAGGTTTCCACAACCCTCTCTCGAAGTTCCATTCATTTGCTAGAAAGGCTCACAGAATTCCGAGAAATATTTCACTTACTAGATTATCGGTTTTATTATAAAAGGATGTAGCTCGGGAATAGCAGATGGAAGAGACCCACTGGGAGAGCACGTGGCAAGGGGCTTCCACACCTTCTCCAGGCACCCCTGTCCCCAGATCTCTGCCTGTTCACCAACCTGGAAGCTGGAAGCTCTCAGAACACTGTCCTTTTGGGTTTTCCAGGAGGCCGTATTACTTGGGCACAGCTGATTAAATCGTTAGCCACTGGGGATGGGTGGGCGGGTTTAACCTCCAGCCCCGGAGGACCGAAAGTTCCAGCCTTTAATCGCCTGGTTGGTTCTTCTGGTGACCAGCCTAAGTCACCTCATTAACATAACAAAAGACACATTTATCACTCTCAGCACTTAGGAAATTCCAAGAGTTTTAAGAGCCTGGTGCCAGAAATGGAGACAAAGACCAAGTTCGCTTCTTGTGAAAATTCTGTGCGGCAGCCTCCCAGCCCCACCTCTCCTCCAGGCTCCGGGGCCTCTGTCCTGAGGGTGGGGTCAGGATATGGGTGGGGCCTGCAGGAGGTCGGGGGGTGCGCCTGGCACCCTCTGAGGGCTGAGGCGCGCCACAGGTGCCCCGCCCTGGCTGGAAGTCCGGGTGCCCCTCGCAGAGGATGGTCCCGGCCTGGAGGACAGAGGAGGGTGAGAAGGGGGACCCTGTGGGATGAAGACCCAGAGGTGGTTCCGGGGTGAGAGGCCTAGCGACACCTCCCTTCTGGCCTAGCGGTCCCCGCCACCCCACAGGGACAGTAGCACTGCTCACTCCTGCCCTCCTTCAGCCACCCCACTCGACATGCTTCCTGCCCCCGCCCCCCTCAGGGCTCACGTGGGCAGCAGGTCTTTGTCCTCAGGCAGCCCCTGGCCTCTGGTCCTTGACCTTGGGGTCCATCCACCCAATTCCGTTTCCTCTTCTGAGTCCTCGAAAACTTCCAATGTGACCACCAGAGGGCACTCTGCGGCCGGGAAAGGATGCGGCCTAGGACTCGGCTGTGCGTCAGGGAGGGCGCAGCGGGGCTGAGGCACAGGGGGCCGTGTGACCCTGGCCCTTTCATCTCTCCATAGGATGCGTATCTAGGGGGCCGCGAGGAGGATGTGGCCAGGACGGGGTGTGGGGGGCAGTGGCCGGCTGCACTCCCAGCCCACGCGGGGGTCCGCAGGGGGCGGCGTAAGCATTGCGTGATGGACCCATTTTGTGCATCGCTCTGCCGGTGGGCGGCCGCTCGGGGTGTTTCTTCCTTCTGGCCCTCGCGGACAGTGCGGCTGCGGACATGCTGTGCGGGCCCCGCTGGAGACCCTGACCTCAGATCTGCTGGCACAGGGACACCCGGGCCCGGAACGGCGGGTCACAGTCTGGATTTAGCTTTTTGAGGAACCGCTCAGCTTGTCCACGGAGACTGGACCGCTGGCCTCACCGGCAGCTCCTCGGGGCTCCAGTGTCTCCACATCCTCGCCTGCTGTTCCCCTTGCATTTTACTGTGGTCGATGCTATTTTATTTCAGCCTCTTAGTGGGGGTGCTTCGCCCCTCGTAGAGCTGGATAATTCCCCCCACGTTCGTGGTCAGGAGGGAGAGAGACCCTAACGCCAGCCTAGACCCGAATGGCAAAGGCGATGGAGGCAGGGTGGCCAGGGAGAAATCGGTGCTTCGAGGAAGCTTCCAGCGGCGAGGGGTGACATGCGTTGGCCAGCACAGCAGGTGGAGTTTAACGTGCCGCAGGCTGGGGGACACTTGGGCAGTGGCGGACGTGTGGAATGGCCCTCCTTGATTGTGGCGGAGAATGGGGGCAGGAAGGGGTGTGAGACACACGCGCATACACACTCAGTCTCAGTCAGGACCCGGGACTGTGACTTAACCCACAAGGATTTTTTTTTTTTTAAGTCTACTACATGCCAGGTTTTGTGCTGAGAGGTTTCAGAGATACAAAAATAAGGGAA